CGGGCCCCTGGTTTTTGGCTCATACAACGAGCGGAAAGAAAAAGACAAAAGATGGTTTAACGTGTTATTCCGCGTTCGTATTCGTATGTTCTACGAGTAAGTAATGTCGTCATTTGCCCTGTCATGAGTGTCGTGCAGGGAAAAATTAAATTTTTCACTGGTGTCGTGCATAGGACTGCCTGACCTTCTCTAATATTCTATCTATACTCCACGCTGACTTTTCTACCCGCTCTAACAACATGCATGTCTGTCGTGCAGTCTCGACATATGTTATGCATTGCCACGAACACATCTATACTTCTAGTTAGTGACTACACGTATCATCGCCCGACCTGTTTCTGAGCGCCTCCTGGTGTTTGCCGGACCGCGTGGACTCTCGCATTTTTTCTACGACACTCGCTTGCTTTACAAGGGCCCCCTGGTGTTTGCAGTCCTGATCGTGTTGACTTCTCTCACTTTCTCTTTACGATCTGCACTCCCGTTTCGAGCGCCCCCCCCCCCTCCTGGCATCACAATTATAAGTAAAGCATTTGTCAAACTTTCTCTCCACTATCCACACTCGCTTTACGAACTTGCCTCCTGAGCATGGTTTTCGAGGACTGCGTGTACTTCTCTTACTTTCGATTTACAATCTGCACTCACGAGCGCCCCGCTCCTGGCATCGTAATCGTGTGTAAACAAAAATTGTCGCTCTCTTTATGATCGACACTCGCTTTACGAACTCGCAAATTCCTTGCAGGACTGCGTCGATTTCGCAACGCAGATCCGTCACGCGATGCCGCTCGTCTGCCAGCTCCTCGGCTCGCGAAGCTCCACCGATGTCCTCGAGGCGATCGAATTCTTCGCGACGGCCGCGGAGTTCCACGTGAGCGGGGCCGTCGTCGGCGTGCGCCGCGCTCTCGTGCTCGTCTGGTCGAAGGAGCAGCCGATCAGGGAGGCGCTGTCGGCCGCCTACAGACGCCTCTACCTGGAGACGGGCGACGATGATGCGGGCGCCGCGGGCAATCAACGGTGAGCTCGGTGGTGGGTGGTGGGTGGTGGCGGGGTGGGCGAAAGAAGGGGGGTGGTGGTGGTGCAGAGCGGGTGTGGGGTGGGGTGGAGCGGAGGGAAGGGGGTGTGGTGGCAAGGCGGAGTAGCGGGAGTAGTGTTTGGGGCGTGGCGGAGGGGAGGGGGTGGAGTGGGGTGGTGTGGTGGCAGGGCGGAGTAGGGAGAGTAGTGTTTGGGGCATGGTGGAGGGGAGGGGGTGGAGTGGGGAAGCAGTGTTTGGGGCGTGGCGGAGGGGAAGGGGTGGAGTGGGGTGGAGTGGGTGTGGTGGGGGCGCGAGCGTGGATGGGAGTGAAAGGAGGTGGGGGTGAGCGGGGGTTGGAGCAGGGGGGTATTATTCGAGGAGGATGCTTGCTGGAGAGGAAGAGTAGTGTAGTGTAGCCACGCGTGCTTTCATTATGCGTCGTCGCAATAACACATTTTACTTTAAGTGGCAATGCGGTTGGATGTTCTGCTGCTGTGGTCTGTTTTAGTGGTAATGCATTTTGTTTAAGTGATAACACATTTTTTAGTGGTGATACTTTTTGTTTATATGCCGATGTGTTTTGCTTAAATGCTGATGTGTTTTTAGTTTCGTAGCGATGTGGTTTGTTACGTACGTTTGGCATTGCAGGGCGCAAACTTTAACCGTGGTGAAAAACTTAACAGCTCTAATAGATGGAGCCACACTGGCTGAGTTGACATCGTTGGAGCAACTGGTAGGTAGCACACTTAAAGTTTGCTCTACCTGTGTAACTCTTTACTCCGTGATGGACAGCCTAACACAGGAAGAGCTATCCCTAAGAAGTCACACTACTTATTACTTGCTAACAATATTATGTACAAAATCAAGATCAGGCCATTCCTAATGTATTTACTGTTTGGCAATTCGTCTTGAGATATACTTTTATCGGGACAATTAATGCCTTGCTCTATTAGACAAAGATGTAGTAATATATTGTGTGTTGAGAGCACTTAATTTTTATGCCAAAACTCTCGTTTCTCCTCCCCCCCCCTCTTTCTCTCTCTCACGCGCTCTTTCTCTTTCTTTCTCTCTCTCTCTCTCTGCACATCTGAACTATATATATGAATATATATATATAGTGTATATATATAAATCACTATCTCTCTCGTCTATCTCTCTGTGTATACGTCTCGTCTCGT